GAGTTCAACCCCACAACCGACAAAAAAAAAAAGACTAACCTCTGTAAAGTAGAAAATTATGTTCTTTGTTTTTCTTTGCAATTTCCTGGGGTCTACTCCAGTGTTTCTCTGGGCCTAGCAGTTGTTCAATAAACACTGCTAGCAAAGGAAATGGATTTCTTGGCATTTAGAAATGAGAGATTCCTTGCACTCATTATCAAAAGTTCCTGGTGTTCTGGTTTCAGTGTGTGTGTGTGTGTGTGTGTGTGTGCATAAAAAAGACACTAACAAAAATGAGAGCCTCAAAGACCAGGAGAGCATAAGAAAGAAAAGAATTTAGCTATGCCAAGGTCAGGAAAAACACTTGGGCCCAGAGAAAAACAAGCCCAAACACAAGGATCTATGGGGCATCTTCCAAGGCCCGAAATTCTGATGTCAAAGGCTTTAGTCGATGAGGCATGCTTCAGGATGTGTTCACTTGCAATAGCTCCTTGAAATGCACAGCCCACATCTACATATTGATCCTTGGAACTCTTGCCACCTTTGTTGGCACTTGTCAGTCTGTCTTTTCAAATGGTCAGCTCCTCATGAAGCCAGATCTAGATGATGAGATTGTTCATAAGTGGGTGTGACAGCTGTCACTCAAACATTGGTTTTCTATTCCACCAAGGAGAGGAGGTACCATGCAGCAGGAAGATCCTTGCACTGAGCTAGAGGGTGTGGACAGGTCATGTCGTCCTCTAAGGTGAGAGTGTCTCTGCCTGTACAAGGAGACCACAATCTCTGCCCAATTCATTAGCCGAAGTGAGGTTCCACTAGAACTGTGAACCAATGAGCACTGGCCAATGAGCTAGTGGCCACCCATGGTCAGCAGGGCCATGCTCTGACTTTCCAATCTCCTACAATAGGGATTCTTCGAGGAGGACAGCTAGACTGGACAGACACATTCCTTCCTACACAATAAGCCTTTGAAACTTTTTTGACTCTTTAAAAATGACTATGAAAATACCAAACTGTTTTCCTCCCACTGGAATGTAATCAGAACAACTCATTAGGTGATGCACCTGGGTGATTAAGATCCACACCTTTGAAGTGACAATATCCACACTCAAGTTCCAGCCCCCTTAGGTATGAGTGCATGGGTAGGTTACTAAGCTTTCAGAAGCCCAGTTGGCTCATCAACACGAGGGGACAGACAGCAGACAAGGGACATTATGAGGATCAAACGACACTTTGGCAAGATCCTGACACAAATAGCCAGCCAGTCTGATGTCAGTCAACACTTCTAATCAATACTCGCATCTCTTCCATTATCAGCTTGGGGAATCCAAGCTTCTTTGTCACAGAAGACTAGAAAAAGAGTTAAGGGTTGGTGGGGGGAGGTCTGCAGTGACATGTACCCTAAGAGTGACAGGTCCACTGACAGTTGATAGTAAGATAGGAAAGGGATAAGAAGCCCATAGAGAAAGATTCCCATTGAGTCGCTGTCCACACAGCCCCTTGCTTGTGGGCTCAGAACACTCATAACATGGAAAAGCCCCTATCAGCAGATGATTCTACAGCACAGTGCAAAATGTCCACTGTGTTTTCTAGAAGAAATCACAAATTCAGCAAATAATTTGAGTCAAGGAGGAGAAAGTGTAGACGACACATTAAAGGGATACATTTCCTCAGGACGGTTCATCTATGCTGGATATCTTACAATAAGATTACATCAACAAGGACCTGATATTTAAAAAGAAGATATAAAATTAAAGTAACAACAACAGACACAATTGGAAAACGTTCTCAAGAATTTTTGCTTCTTCTCTTAACTCATTGCATCCTTTGTTTTCTAAAGATGCAGAGTCTCATTCTGTTGCCCAGGCCAGTCTCTAACTCCAGTGTTCAATTGATCATCCTGCTTCAGCCTGCCAAGGATCTGTGACTATGAGCATATACCACCACTCACGCTTACTTTAACCCAGTTTCTGTCTAGTCTTGAGAAAAGTAATTCTTTAATTTACTCTGGGCCTCTCCATTTGGAATCATGGCTTTTGTACATTTAGATAGTGTTTCCTTGAAAGGGTTCAAAAACGAATTCCATCAGATAACATATTGAAAGTAAAACTGTAAACATTATTTTTATAAAACTGAGGCACTCAGGAGACACTCTGTTGAAAATGAACTATACAATATGTGGGTGGAGATGGGAGGCAAAAATTGGGAGGGAGTGAAGGAAGGCGTGACATTGTCCAAAAAGAAATGTACTTATTACCTGACTTACAAAGTGGTAACCCCTCTGTACATTTTCTTTATAACAACAATAAATTTAAAAAGATAGAAAAAAACAGAGGAAACTGGATATCAGTGGCTCATTTCCTGGGAGGCTAAGAGCAAGAGGACTGAGGTTTGAGGCCAGCCCAGGCAGGAAATCTGACTCCTTCTCAACAAATAGCGGGGTAGAGTGTCATATACCTGATACCTCAAAGCCACATGGGAAACAGAGATTGAGAGGATCTCAGTACCAGACCAGCCCCAAGCAGAAAAGTGTCTCCATAGAGGAGAGCCAGTGATAAAGAGAAGCCTAAAACTAGAGGATCATGGCTCAGATACATGCCCGAGTGGGAAACGATACCCTATTCTAAAAATAACCAGTAAATCAAACCAGGACTAGAGATGTGGATCAATGGTGTTGTTCTAGCCTTCCAACCCTAAGGCCCTGAGTTCAGTCCCCTGGTCTAATATTGCCAAAAAACCCCCAATAAATGATAAGAAAACACTCCCCTTCCCCCGCCCCCCAAAACAAAAACAAAGCCTCCAAGTAACAACAATAAACGTGAAGGACGAAAACACTAACTGGCCTTGACAGCCTAGGTTTTCAGCATCCTTCCTTGGCCGGAGCCAACTGGTATCAGCAAAAGAGCATGGTAAGTGAAGAGACTCATTTCTCAGCAGCTCTACTCATCCACCGCTCTCTGTTTAAAACCTCACACCACTGCCTCTGGAAGGTAGATTTGCTTTACATCTTATCCATATCATATTCTGGACCCCATAGAAACAATTTTCCAAATCCCCCAAATAAAGATGATCAGAACCTGACCACTTGAAACAAAGTCCAAACAAATTTGAAAAGATTTTTAAAGTGGTCATTTTAAGTGGTTAAAAATCATGATAATGGCATCTTTAAACTGCCCTCTATCTGATTAGAGCAGGAAGAACACCAGGAAAACTAGGAAAGTAGCCCTTTCATGGTAGACATGTACCTTGGCCTATTATAGGTGTCTGGAAAGACTTTCTCCATTGGAAACAAAGGGGGTAATCTTGGCCTTCCAGGTTAGGATGGCCAGATTTAGCAAACAAAGATTTATATGCAGTTCTACTTGACTTTCAAATAAAGCATATTATTGTTGTTGTTGTTGTTACCACAAGTTCCATGCAATATTTAGAACAAGCTCCTATTGGAAAAGTACTTGCTATCTGAAATCCATGTTTAATTGATGTCCCATATTTAAGCTAACAGCTCTACTCTTGGCTCCAGTCACCTGGGGAAATTGGGATGAGTAATAAGTTGGGGGTCAGTGAAGGTTCTATGGCTATCTTAGGAGTATGACAAAACTTACAGCACAAACCTGGTGTCCTTCCTCCCTCTCCTCTCCCTTCTTCCCTCTCCCCTCCCTTCCTCTTCTTTCCCAACTTTCTCCAAGGAGGTTCATTGGCTCAGGCCAAGCTCATTCCAAGCCACTTAGAAACCAATGCTTTTTTCAATTCCTCTGATCATCACCTGCATGACATACTTTCCTCCTTGGTCTCCTACATCAGAGCTGCTTTAAACTTGTGAGAACTGATTCACTTCTACATTCTATTGTTTCTTATTTTGTTTCTTCCCCAAGCAAGGCTGTAAATAGGTTTGGAAGGGTTCTCTAAAATTGTTTTTTTAATTTACTTTTATTGCAATTTTTATTAGCATACTAGGAGGGCTCTTGATTAAAGTCCCCCCTCACTTTTTCCACAGACAATCCTCCCTGCAAGTATTCATATGCCAAGAAGCACAGAAGGCATTATTTCCAAATCAAAGAAAAGAGAAGGCTGAATCTTGTGTCTGACTTGCCTACTACAGAAGAGTTTATGGGCTCCACCCCCAGATACTGCCTTGATGCTGGCAATGGATTCTGTCCCCCTCACTGACTCAGACCTCTGATTGGTGGTCTTTAGTGAGTCAACTTTATAACCATACAGATTTCATAAAAACAAGGAAGAAGGAGCTCTGGCTCTCAGGCTTCCAAGGATGTGCTTGCAGTGAAACATTTACAGCTAAGCTATAAAATGCATGGAGATATGGAAGAGACATTGACACAACAATAAAACGAGGAGTGAGATTAACGATGCCATAATGCAATCTGTTTTCATTTGGCGCAGAGAAAATTAAGTTTTGAAGCATTTCATTTAACTTTGCAATATTTTGCAGCTTAACCTTTGATGCTTGCAACCATGTGTGTGTGTGTGTGTGTGTGTGTGTGTGTGTGTGTGTGTGTGTGTGTGCGTGTGTGTATGTATGTGAATAATGGGGCTTGAACTCAAAGCTTAGACACTGTCCATTTGCTTTTTTTCCATTCAAAACTAGTGCTCTAACACCTGACCTATAGCTCCATTTCTGGCCTTTTTCTGGTTAACTGAAGGGTCTCATGGATTTTTCTGTTCAACTGAAGAGTCTCATGGACTTTTCTGCTCAGGTAGACTTTACCATGATCCTCAGATCTCAGTCTCCTGAGTAGCTAGGATTACAAGTATGAGCCACAGACACCTGGCCTACAAGATTTTCTTTTATCTGCTGTCTACTGCTTTAAGCCTCAGGATGGGGAAAGCAAATTTTGCATGTAGTTGGTATGGCTTTGTGGCAAATGATCTCTTCTGTGAACAGAGACATGGAAAGATTACTCCAAGAACTAAAGTTATTGCTGGCCCTAACTTGTAGCATTGCCTATCAAAAAATCTACTTCAAAGCTATTAAACATAACTTCTTAAAGGCTAAGATGTGTTACCTTCCAGAGCAAGGCACCGGGGTGGGCTGGATGACCAGATAAGGTTGTGTAAGCACTCAAGATACTCGGACCCCTCAAGTTTAAATCCAGGGAAGCAGCGATAGGCAATCACAGTCCCCACTGGGAAGGAGGTCTGGAACTCCGAGATGTTCACGTAGCCATTGGAAGAGGCTAGAGGTCTCAGGCAGCCTGGGAAGCATAAAAGAAAGAGGAAAAGTTCACTTGGTCATCTTAGTGCATTCAAAAGTCAAATGGAACACTGTAAGTCTTCAGGATTGCCTCATGGCTCCGAGGAGGGAAACACCTTGGTCTCTAGGCTTAGTTTCCATCTTCTAACTGGCTTATTACATTTAGGAGGCAAAGGTTTGCTTGTATGTTTGCCAATGTCACTGAGAGGGTTAAATAAGGAGTCCAGAAGTAGAGTTGAGGAGGGAATGTGTTTGTGATGAGGACTGGCAAATACAGATTGTGTGTATATCCTAGGCACAATGGCAAATGACTGAACCCTTCCCAGAGCTGACTTTGCCAAACACTGAGCATGTCTTGAAGGAATCTCTTAGGCACATGTCTTTCATGGACACCTCAGTACGTGACGTCTGGACATCAGAGTGAGTGAGATTAAATGAGGCACAGAGGGCAGAACTTAGAGAGTCACTCATTCTCCTGGTGTGCAGTAGCTAGCTTGCCACTGCTGTGCCCTGAGGCACAGAGCTCTCCAATCCCAGCTGACCCTGTCTGCTCTTGAACCAATCAATGCTCAGGACAAACTAGATCTGAATAAGTAGAGGAGCTCAACCATCTTTTTAAGAGACTCGTACGTCCTTACATGTTTTTGATCTGAAAAGTGGCAATGTTGGTGGCAAAAGCGAAATTGGGGTGGGAATCTGGAACTCCTAGGAAGAAGTTACAGCTCTAAGCTACTTGCATGGATAAACTGGTATCTCCCAAATAAACACTGACTCTGATCCATCGCGAGCAGCAGGCATCTGAACACTGCTTTCCAAAATGTAAAAGTTCCCACAAAAAAAATGCCCACCCCAACAGGCCTTCTAGCAGCTTCCCACGCCCAGGAGATGGCAGGGGTTAAAATTTGTGCAGCTAAGCAGAGCTGAGAGAAAAGATAGGCTGTTCACTCTTGGTTGGAGATAGTCCATCCTACATATAATAGGAGAAAATGGGCTTCAACTCAATAGTTCAATGGGATTTCCATTTGCACTTCTAGATAATAGAGAGGAGCTTCCTCAGGATTGAGACCCTGGATCTATAGGTGCAAATAAAAGTTATAGAATGAAATGTCACTCTAAGGGCCAATTAATTCCTGCAGGGGGCTCAGCCAGATGTCAGGCTGTCAAAGGCAACTCGGATTCCTCATTCCTTGTGCTATGCCAGGTGAGCAGCAGAGAGGAAGTTGATGCAGTGACAGCTGGAAGAACACCTGTATAGCAAGAGGCAAAGTGGGGGGTGGGGTGGGGAGTGGTCCCAAGACAGGCCAGGGCATCTCCTCTGTGAGATGGAGGGCTCTGAGGGGAAATGAGCACAGGGTATGAGTGTATTGTTGGAAGCGGCACATCTCTCAAATGTAGCCATCCAGGCACTAAGGGTTCTATCCAATGGTAGAGCACTTGCCTAGCATATATGAGAATCTGGGTTCAATCAGGAGAACAGAGAGAGAGAGGGAGAGGAGAGAGAGAGAGGTGGGGGGGAGACTGAAGGGGAAAGGAGGAAGGGAAGGGAGGGAGGAAGAAAAAGAGGGAGAGGGAAAGGAAGATGGAGAAAAAGATGGAGAGAAGTCAGCCAGTTCTTTGGTTGCTGCAAAGTTCTACCTCATGGCTTGAAACAGGATTTGTGAAATGGGTGATAAGGTGGCAAGCCAGACAGAGCAATGGGAAAACAGGTATTTGAACTCCTCAAAATGACATCCCAAGAGATCAACCACCATGGGATGTTCAAAAATTACTGGGGGAAAAAAAAGCTCTTAAGGAAGCACAGTGTATTTAAGTGACACAAAAGGAAATAAAAAAGGATGAAAGGGAAAGAGCAAGGATATATGGGAAAAAGGTAAGAAAAGAAGTAGTGGGAGCCTAGGTGATTTTCTTCACCATTACTCTGACAGTGCCAGAGACCTGGAACGAATCAGTGGTTAATAAAGTTTATTCAAATAAGGAGATCAATCTAGGAGCCAGCTGCTTCTTTTGTAGACAGTCTCAGAATGTGTAAATAAATCCGAGTCTCCTTTAGAAATGAAATACAAGACAGGCTAGCAGTACAGGCGGCTGTGGGGGAAAGGCAGGGCAGGGAGTGTGATGGTCAGGCTATGTCTGTTCTCCAATTCTGCAGCCCGTGTTCCTTCATGGGGTCATGACTCTTAAGCTCCCATGTAAGAAAACAATTTATTTCTGATGATGGGGCACACAAAGTAATACCAGAGCCTGCCAGTTGTGATTTCCAAGCACAAAGTTAACATTTGTCTCAACTTGAACATGCCAAGGTTTTGGAAGCAAATGAGATTGCTCTCCTTCTCCCTCATAGAATGAATTATGCATTTGCATTCTCAGTCCTTCAGTTCAAATCTCAGGCCAAAAAAAATAAAATGAGAATTAATGTGAACTGGAGGGCTTATTTGCACAAACAAGGAGAGACCTCTATATGGCTGGGGCAAATCTTTCAAATCTGAAAGGATAAATATTCACCATAGGGTGAAGATCTGAATTTGTTTTTCTGCTTTCTATGCTTTAAAAAATGGCTAGTTTTGGAAGTGGTGCTATGGCTTAAGTGGTAGAATGCTCACCTTGAGCTGAAGAGCTCAGGGTCAGCATCCAGGCCTGGAGTTCAAGCCCCACAACCGACCCCTCCCCCCCAAAAAAGCTAGTTTTTTTAAGAGAAAATAGTGCCTGTCAGATGGGATTTTCTATATTCTCACTGAAATAAAGGAAAGCACTCTGTTATTGCCATTACATACATAATGAGCTATATAATGGTTCATCATTGTGTTCAGAGCCCAGATTATATCACATAGTCCTTAAAACTACCTTTCACTTACTAACAAACACAAGCAACATGTTAAAAAGGAAGGTATATGGAGCCATAACTGTAATCCTAACTGGATCTGAAGATCCTAGTTTGAAGCCAGACTGGGCAGGAAATCTGAGACTCTTACATCCAATTAACCACCCAAAAGCCAGAAGTGGGGCTGTGACTCAAGTGGTAGAGTGTCAGCTTTGAGAAGAAAGAAAAGCCAAGGGACAGTGCCTAGTCTGTGAATTTAAGCTCTGAGTCCAAGGGCTGAACTGAGGGCTGAGCTCAAGCCCAAGTACTGGCACAGAATGTGTGTGTGTGTGTGTGTGTGTGTGTGTGTGTGTGTGTGTGTATGTGTGTGTGTGTGTGTATGTGAAGCTGAGTCACTACAGGGATTTAGATGGAGATTCCACGAGCAGAGACATGGCAGTCTCCAGGAAGATATGGGAGGACTCACATGGAATAGATGCTCTTCTATTTTCTCACCACCATTTCTATTATGCTGCTCTAGACATGATGCAGTCCAGATAGAACAGCTGACAAGTGCAGCTCTGTCCCGTACCTTGACAGATGGGCAGATTATCCCACGACCCATCATCGCGACATAATGAAACCGTGTTGTACAGGTCAGGGTACCGAATCTTGAATCCTTCATGACAGGTGATGATTAACTTATCTCCATGTCTGTATGTCTTGTTATGAATCTCAGCATCTTCAATTTGAGGGATACGGCAATCTGCAATCAGGTTAAAGGTATATATTAGTTTTGGAATTTAAAATGGTTAACAGCTTCACAAGAAAGCTCATGTTTTCAGTCCTTATCTTGACTTATACAAAAAGTTGATGCAAGGTATCTTACCCATCATTAGGCTCAGATGCCAGGGATAGGCAATGCAGACCGAGTCATAGAGAGGTGCAACTCAGAACTGACATGCAGAGGGAAGTTTATTTCCTGCCTATGATGCTTCTGTACAGCTGGTCTTAAGAATAATTATGGCAATAAATGAAGATAGGAGTCAGGGCTGAACCTGAACTATCTATCTGGTTATACACTGTTGTGGATGGTACCTAACACAACACAGTCTGTCTGATAGACCTGGCCAACCCCCTAGCAAGCAGAGGTCAAGCTGTGGCTGTGTTGGCTTTCAGCACCTTCTATTTTATGTGCTTTTGAATGGCTAATGAATGGAGCAGCACATACTCTTATCAATGGCTCAAAGGCTTAGAGCACCCAGCTGCACTGCCTTCTAAAAGTGGGGTAGAGCAGAGTGCACAGATGCGGGGTGGGGGTGGGGGCAGGGCAGCAGCTCCTGGCAGCTAAGTAGGGATCCAGACCTTGCTACCCCCCCTCCCCTCACTGCCTCTCCTAAGTCACATTGATCACAATGTATCTCTCTCCATTTCTTTTTTTTTTTTTTTGGTCGGTCGTGGGGCTTGAACTCTGGGCCTGGGCGCTGTCCCTCAGCTCTTCAGCTCAAGGTGAGTGCTCTACCACTTGAGCTACAGCGCCACTTCCGGTTTTCTGGTGGTTTATTGGAGATAGGAGTCTCACGGTCTCTCTTGCCCGGGCTGGCTTTGAACCGCGATCCTCAGATCTCAGCCTCCTGAGTAGCTAGGATTACAGGCGTGAGCCACCAGCGCCCGGCTCTTTCCATTTCTTATGAATACATCTCTACTTAGTGTTTCCGATTTTATGCATTTTTTTCAGAGATGGGGATCGAACCCAGGGCCTTGAGCCCACGAAGCAAGTGCTCTGCCACTGAGCTATACTCCCATCCCCACTAATGTTTCTGATTTTAGATGCACATATATTTGTTAGTCTGACCTATAGGTAGATTAGGTTTCAGACATGGACTCTTAATTTTTTTTTTTAAAAGGAAAATTCTAAGGACAGCATGTTGTCGATCACAAGAAACTCCCCCTGTAAATTCCTGAATCGTCTTAAAGATAATGATTTCTCAGCCATTCCCCACTACACGGAACCTATGATACTGTTGAAATAGCATCAGTAGGAGTCCTGACCTTTAAGTGGTTCTCAGGTGTGGTCTATCAGTGCTGAGGCACTAGACCCTGGAAGCTCTGACTGGAATGACAGGAAGAAAGAAGCCATGGCTGATGATAGGGTGGCTCTGGTGGCTGCAGACTTTGGTTGCTTTGAAGGAAAGGAACAATGCCAGGGATATGGGGTTTGGGCTACATTGACCAGGAACAGTGGGGAATGGTATGACTGACTCTAGAAAACAGGATGTCAGCAATGAGAAAGATGAACAGAAAGTGAGAGGGAGGGCCTGGCAGCTGGAGAGAAGGAGTGTGGCCTATCCATTGTAAGGGTCATCTTAAGTCAAATGCTTGGAAGCCTGAGACGACTTTTTTTTTTACCACCATTAGTTTGAGAGCAAGACTGGTGCCATCCACTCCCTGTAACATTGTTTCCAGACTTAGGCACAAACCTGTCAAAGAGGAAATGCAAAGGGAGCCATCTGAATTTCTGCCTGAGAGCCCTAAGAGTGCTCAGGAGCCTGGTTAACTGGCTCTGCACACAGCCCCAACCTCTCCCTCTTCCCCAAAGAAATTGTCATCAAGCTGCCTGATGAACTCTAGATTTCCAGCTAGAGTCTTGGATACAGAACGGTGATCTTGTTCTTTGTTTTCCTCTCCTTTTTGCTTTTGGAATGGGGGTTAAAACAGTTTACATTTAATCAGTAGTTTTTCTGCTAAAATAGCTGAATTTCTCACAAATTAACCCCAGGATAATCCTGACTAGAGTTACAAGATAATTGACAACTCTGCATACCATTGCTGCTTTCTTCTTAATGGAAAATGTAAATTATGGTGTTTTTTTTTCCAATGGCACTAAGCAGACATTATTCACAGCAAATAAAAACACATTTATCAGGGCATCTGTCTGTAAAAATCTTGGCTTCACATAGTTCCTGTGATAGTAATTTGTATGTCTGAATAACTATGTTCATAATGGACTTAAAATGTGTTCAAGAATTAACTGGAAGAGTCAGAAGGTGGTAAACACTAAGAATAGTCCATGGATAAAATGTCCATTTGGACTTGACAGATCAATGCACATGGGCTGGCTAGGTGCCAAAACACTCATGCCTTGTTCCTAAGGTTGACTTCCCAGCCTGTGGTGGTTAAAGTAGAATGCTTTGAACTTCTCAGTAGAACTCCAAGTTTCTGCATGCAGGAGTCAGGCCTATTTCAGAGCATATGACACAAGGATTGAAGGGAGTTCTCAGCCGCCCAAGTCTCATGGACTTCCATCCACAACATCCATGTGGATGCTTCAGGGACAGTGATGCAGGGCCAATTCACCAAGTGGAGCAGTCACATTTCAACTTGCAATTAAGAAGTTAGAGTTCAAGATCCATCACAGTGGAGATGCCAGGAAGGAATATGCCTTAAAAGTAAGGAAAACAGCTGGGCGCTGGTGGCTCACGCCTGTAATCCTAACTACTCAGGCTGAGATCTGAGGATCACACTTCAAAGCCAGCTGGAGCAGGAAAGTCCTCAAGACTCTTATCTCCAATTAAGCACAAGAAAACTGGAAGTGGCACTGTTGCTCAAGTGGCAGAGTGCTCACCTTGAGCTGAAGAGCTCAGGGTCAGCATCCAGGCCTGGAGTTCAAGCCCCACAACCGACCCCTCCCCCCCAAAAAAGCTAGTTTTTTT